TGATTTCGAGATTAATACGCCATTGTTGAATGTTAAGAATTAATTTTCTGATTTTATATTTATCTAATATTTTGGGATTAATTTATGGCATTAGTTGTATTATTTAAAGTTTAACTTTGATTAGTCGTATGAGTTCATGAGTATTATCCGCCATTGTTGAATGTTAAAGCTATGGGCATGATTTTAGGTTGAAGACAAATAAAAATAAAACAAGATATATAACTAAAACTGAAAGAGGTGCTGCCATGATTTTAGCTACTTTTTTAAAAAAAATAAATAAATAAAATAGGCGTTATTTGTGGAGGTTTTTTTTTTTTTTGAAAACAGAGAAGGCATGATTTGGGAAGGGAATATATGATAAAATCTTTCCCTATATGTTAATTGTTTCAATTATGTTAATAAATAAAAATAAAATCTAAACATGAGGGAGGAATCTTTTCTATAGATAAATTATCATCCTACAAAATATGTTATTTTTTTTTATTTTTATTTTTTTTGACGGATACAAAATATGTTGATTAAATTTTGTTTAATATTTTTATCAACAATAAATAGTTTCATTAACAATAGTTACTTTTTATAATATGGGGAGGGCGTACGTAGGTACTAGTATAGACGTACTTTTTTTTTTTGGTATATATAAAATTATGTAGTATGGTTTGTTATAACTTTACAAGAATATTCTTTCTTGTTAAGATTATAATAACGTATATTGTTTAATGAAAGGATTTAAGTAATAGAATACATCCTTTATAACTATTGTTAACATTAAAGGATATCTATTCTATCCTTTATTATTATTATTGTTAACATTATTAAAGAATATATTTCAAACAAATGTTAACAAGAAATAGGTTGTTTGAAACATGTTTACTTCGGTTTGAAAAGAGTTTTCTTCTTTATCATAATAAATGACAAAAGTTGAAAAATTGAGCCTATGACTAGTATTACTACGTATATTAAGTACCCTAACACATTGGGAATGCCCAATCATTGTTTGGTATCAAACATAATAAGGTCTAAGATGATTCGATGAACTAATTAATGTATTTGTTATTCATAATGACAAATACCACTTTAACAAGAAATGATTCTTTTTAAATCTTTTTTGTCCTTTATATAATAATAATAAGTAAATTATAGAAGTATAAAAATCTACTATATGATCAATCTCATGCATATAGTACGTAATCTAACATATTGAGACTACCTAGTAATTATTGAGCACTGCCTAATGGCCTTTTTCTGTTCACCTTATCTATTAATCTAATCTATTAACTACTACTAAAACAAAATATGTTGACATCATTAAGGGATACATGTCAACTTCTCATGAAAAACTTTCCCATCAAAACTATTTTTGACATCATCATTTTTTTTTTTCTCTCTATTTTTTTTCCTCCTAAGTTCTAAGACTAAATAAATACAATACTTTTTTCAAAATTAATTTCTCCAATTATGATTACACTTTTTTGAATAAAGAATATTGATTGCTATTTTGAACAAATAATATCTATTTAATCCGTGCAATGCACAAGATTAAACTAGTTTTTACTTATATCAGGACTAAAAAGTCTAAATAAGTGCAATTTGGGAATAAAATTTATAATTTTAGGTAAGTTAAGATAAGTTCAGATATCCCCAATTTATAATTTTAGTTTTAATTTGAACTTGGGCAATTCTTATCAGTTTTTATTTTTCCTGAGTTGAACTTATTAAACCTGGAATAAGTGAAAATAATATGTTATTGTCTTATTGATTTTTTCACTATGTACACGCTGTGAATATTTAATTTTATATTTAATTATAAATAGAGACTCGTGCATTGCACGGGTTTAAATTTAGTATTGTTATATATTCATCTCAATTCATACTTTTATAATATCAAATTTTAATAACTTTTGAGAGTGACGGATAGCTCAAGTGGTTAGAGCTCCCCTTCCGGTTCTAGGTGATCCTAGGATCGATTCTCATCACCCGCCCTTGTGCAGTTGCTCTCTAAATAGCCAAAAAAAAATTAATAACTTTTACATATTAATAATTGAATAATGCGTTGGAAAGAGTAAGTTGCAAGTAAAATAAAATAATAAATAAAGAAAGTATTACACTAATTAATCAAACAAATAAGTATACAAAACAACAATGTAATTAGAATATCTCAAACAATTGCTGTGTATTCCTAAGTAAAAAATGTAAGAAATATTTGTCTTTTATTAAAACAAAGTGGAAGATCATGATTGATCTTTTTTTATTATTATTATTTGTTCTTACTCAAATAATTGATCATCTTACCTTTATGATGAAGTTATCCTTCACATAAAATGCTTATTATGATGTTCATATTTGGTCAATTTTATTAGTCAATCAGACCGATTGACAATGATAAGATTTTATTAAAACATAGATATCAGTGTATATAAAATGTTTTCTATTTTGGGTATACCAAAGTTACATTTGGGCGTACCTAAACCGAAGTGGTTCAATTCCTTTTTTTTTTTTTTTTTTTACAAAATACAGAAGTATAATCAAGGTTAATTCGGATAATGACATCCGTTTTTATTACTCTTGACAAGGTTGGTTGTCACTCTATCTAACCAAGGTCGCATTAGCTTAATCACGGTTCTTGCTTGTTAAAGTAGAAAGCCCAAATTTAAATGCTAAAAATAGTTGATTGGCCAAAACATTACCTATTACATAACAATCCTTGTTTAAATTGAGAAACCCCGTTATCTTAAATTAATTTAAGGATAAGAAAAAATATATACTTGAATCTACATAGTAAGTAACAAAGGGCACAACTAGGCGGTCTCAAACGACGACTAGTTAGTTCCAAAATAAAATGTTAAAGATCAATTTGTCTTTAATCGAAGGATAATTATCAAAATTCATCATACACGCAAGAATCCTAGCAATTTCGATTATTAGCCTATTGTTCGCAGCGGATTATACTCTGGCATATAAAAAACCTCACAACTCCCAGTGCATACATAAATTTCGCTTTTAGATACCTCAATTTAATTTTCGGCGTTTGCAAAATTTGAATGTTATTAGTTAATCTGAACGATTGACAATACAAAACTTAAATAATTAAAACATGATCACGATGTATATTTAAAGTTTTTCATTTTGGGTATACCTAAGTTATATTTGGGCGTACCTAAAACGAACTGGTTCAATTATTTATTTTTTTTACAAAATAAAGAAGTATAAGGTTATTTCAGATAATCACATGCATATTTGTCACTCTATCTAATCAAGGTCTCACTAGCATAATCACGGTTATTATTAAAGTAGAAAGCCTAAATTTAGATGGTGAAAATAGCTTCTCAGCCAAAACATTACCTATTACATAACAATCATTGTTTAGATTGACATGCCCTGGCCTTTATCTTGAATTAATTGAGGGACACGTGAAAACATATATACTTGAATGTACGTTGTACGTAACAAAAAAACACAACTAGGCGGTCCCAAACGACTACTAGTTAGTCCCAAAATAAAACGCTAAAGATACGTTTGCCTTTAATCGAAAGATAATTATCAAAATTCATACATGCAAGAATCCTCGCAATTTCGATTATTAATCCTATTATTCGCAACAGATTAACGTTGCGTAGAAATAAACTCACAACCCCTAGAGCATACATAAATTTCACTTTTAGATATCCCAATTTAAGTTTGGCTTACCCAAAATTCGAATTTTATTAGTCAATCAGGACAATTGACAAAGAAAAGACTTGATTAAACGTAGATACGATGTATAATATGTTTTCCATTTTGGGTATACCTATGTTATATTTGGGCATACCGAAAACGAAGTGATTCAATTCCTTTAATTTTTTTTTACAAAACATAGAAGCATAAGCAAGGTTATTTCGGATAATCACATCCGTTGTTATTACTCTTGACTAGATTGATTGCAACTCTATCTAACCAAGGTTTCATTAGCTTAATCACGGTTCTTGTTAAAGTGGAAAGCCCAAAATTAAATGCTGAAAATAGTTGTTGCTCGGTCTAAAAATTACCTATTACACATAATGATCCTTGTCTAGATTGAGAAACCTCCTTATCAAAAATTGATTTAGGGCTACACGAAAATATATACTTGAATGTACCTATAGTACGTAAAAAAGAACACGACTAGGCGGTCCCAATGACTACTAGTTAGTCTCGAAATAATAAAACGCTAAAGATCAGTCTGCCTTTAATCAAAGGATAAAAATCAAAATTCATACACGCAAGAATCCTAGCATTTTCGATTATTAGTCCTATTGTTCGCAACGGATTACTTTGGCGTATAATAAAAAAGCTGATAACTCCTAGAGCATACAACTCCCTAATTTAATTTTGGGCGTACCCAATCATTGAATGTTATTAGTCAATCAGAATGATAGACAAAGATAATAATTGATTAAAACAAAGAGCGGTGTATAAAATGTTTTTTATTTTCGGTATACCTAAGTTATATTTGGGCGTATCTAAAACGAAGTGGTACAATTCATATTTTTCTTACAAAATACAGTAGTATAAGACTATTTCGGATATTCACATCCATTTTTAGTACTCTTGGTTCGATAGAACCAAGGTCTCATTAGCTTAATCACGGTTCTTATTAACGTAGAATGCCCAATTTTAAATGCTGAAAATAGTTACTCGGCCAAACTATTACATAACGATCCTTGTTTAGATTGAAAAATCCCATTATCTTAAATTATATTAGGAATACGCGAAAACATATACTTGTATGTACTTAGTACGTACTGAAAAACACAACGAAGCGGGCCCAAATAACTACTAGTAAGTCCTAAAATAAAACGCTAAAGATACGTTTGCCCTTAATTGAAGGATAATTATCGAAATTCATATACGCAAGAATCCTAGAAATTTAGAATATTAGTCCTATTGTTTGCAACGAATTAACCTTGCGTAGAACAAAACTCACAACCACTAAAGCTTATAATGAGAACCAATCCTATAATAGGAACTAAGAACTAATCAGAACCGTTGGATCTAAGAGAAGAGGCGCGCTAAATCAACGGCTGGGATCTATTCTGATAAATTAAATGAAAGTCCCTAAAACAAATTTGCGATTTTCTCTCTCCTCCGCGATTTTCTCTCTCCTCACCAACGCCATTTTCATTCTCCTATACCATTTTCGTTCTCCTCGACTCCATTGACGCGGATTATGAGCTTTCTCTACTCCGTTGAAGCATCTTCTGAGGTAAGATGTTTTATTTCTCTCTGTTTTGTAATCATTGAATTTAGGGTTTTATCGTTAATTGTTTTTTTCAATTTAGGGTTCTTTTTATCTGGATTTATAAAATTTGATAATGTTTGAAGTTTATTGTGCTTGAATTAGGTATAATTTTTCAATAATAGCTGCAGTTTACAATTTTTTTGCTTTAATTTTGGATTCCGGCGCGATTTAATTGGAGATTCAAAAGCTACTCTTGAAATTTCTCAGGTATTAAAGTAATATTCAGCTAATAATTTGATGTTGTTTAACAGTTCGCTACAATAAATCGCAATTTATGCTTGTAAATTTTGTTTTGTTTGATGAAATTTGTCGGTTTTTTTTTTTCCGCTCATATATACGCGATATTTGATGAGTTATCTATAATCTGATAATTTTGTGTGTGATGATGATTATTGGATATTGCAATAAACGAGTATGTGGTAATTTGCTATGAGAATTATCTACATTCTGATAAAGTAAATCCTACATAGCTAGGTTGGAGGAAGTCCCGTGGTTATAATTTATATCAATTACTGTTAGTTTAAGTCTTATAATATAGCAGAATTTGCAAACGTAGATACAAAATACTTAAAAGTAAATCGAAATATTCCAAAAGTAATTTGCCTGGGCTACCTGGTCTTACCGCAACTCTATTGTTCATCAGGCTCTATGACAGAATGCGATGGTGGGTGTCATGGGTTTTTTAAGCTTGTGGAAGACTTCAAACTCTATGCATCTGCTATCTCAGGGGGAGCTGGGTCTGTTAAGGTGAGTACAGGGGAGAGATTGGTTTTATCTCATGAGAAATGGGTGCACCCAGCTGATGTGCGAGTAAGAGTGAACACAGATGGTGCAGTTATGGAGGGCATTCGCGTGGGGCTGGGGGTCTGCATTCGGGATTTGGAGGGGAAGCTGCTTGCTGTGGCAGATCTACTGTTGAATCTGTGAAGCTCGCTGAGGCTCTGGCAACAAGGATGGGAGTGAGGCTTGCTAAGAGGCTTGGATTTAAACACATTGAGTTAAAATGTGATGCTCTTGAAATTGTCATGCTATATGGTTAGAGACCCCTTTCAGAACCCCAACAGTGACAGTGATAGTGATTGAAGGTATTAAATATATGTGATTTGAAGAACCCTGGCAGATGCTGCAAATTCCCTCATGAGTCTCTTCCTTCTTGCTTCATCATTTTCATTATTCTTATTAATATCGATCATTATGCTTATGCTATACTTTATGATATATATATGCATGATTCAAGAAGTATATGAATGAAATTGGACTGAGTTATATGATTTGATTTGATTTAATGACAAGAGAAATACGAGACCAAGTGTTCAATCAAAAGAATAACACGGTGACAATCACCGTGGTTTGCTGTAGTCCTGAGAAGATCAGAAACAAGCTTTGCTGCAAAGCTGGCAAATCCATTAAGAGCATCAAGATCAAGCCTCCATCCAAGCCTGCTCCTCCCTCAACTGCCCAACCTGACAAACCTAAACCTGCTCTTGCTCCAGCACGCGAGCCTCAAAAACCCAAGTCCGCTCCTGCTCCAGCACCTAAGCCTGAAAAGCCTAAGCCATCTATTTCAGTCATGGTAATAACATAACAACTCTATATCCTACTCTAAAAGATGATCCAACATAAAAATACAGAAGATGAATAAGGCTGAATAAGGTAATTCCTACATCAATTATCTCTAAAGTAAAATTAAATTAAATCTATTATAAAGTAAATAAAAAAGAGTTTAAAGTAAACCTATTAGCTCAAGTGGTAGAGCACTATGCGGATGCATAGAGGTGTAGGTTCAATTCCTACATAGGTTATCTTAAATAGTAATTATAAAACACTCTAAAGTTATTCAAAATACATCAAAAGTAAATCAAAATATCCCAAAAGTAAGTAGAAAAACTAAAAACGTATATTAATATATCTCTAAAGTAAATCAAAATAACTATTAAAAGAAATCAAAAGTAGAGCAAAATATGTCAGAAGTAAATCATAATTACTCTAAAGTAAATAAATAATGTTAAAAAGTAAATCAAAATATTATTGAAGTAAATCAAATTAGCTCTAAAGTATACGAATAATAACTTATCTTGAAATGATAAATGACTAAGGAAACTTTGCTATAGCACATAAACTTCAAGTCATTTGACTTTCATATCCATACAAGATGAGTCAAATTTTAAGAAACAAATATATTGAGTTCGATGTAGAGGTTTTCAAATTAAAAGTAAATAAAACTATATCTAAAGTAAACAAAAAAAAAGAAAGGAATGTGATCAAAAGTAAATAACTAAACTTTATTACGAATTCTAATCTTTAGATTACACAAACCTACGTGGGATTTGAACCCACATCTTTGTGCAATTGCACAATGCTCTACCAATTGAGCTAGTAGGCTAATATATATATAACATTAAAAAAAATATCAAAAGTAAATAAAAACGTCTATACAGTATACGTAGTAAACTCATGAGTGGTTAGAAACTCTATATCATTTCAAGCAACTCAAATAAATAGATTAATAGACTTATAAGTAACAATTCCCCTGAAATTTTGAAGCTGATTCTATGATCCAAACATCAAGTAACAATAAATTAAGGTAACAGACAACAAACCAAACATCAAGTAACAGGACCGCAACAGATCCATATTAATTCTAGAAGGTAATAGCCAACCCTCTATTGCTTTACTTCATCAAACTCTCGATACTTACGGAATCAAACTTACAATTAATATGATTATGTAGATTCCTTAGTAATTGTCTAAAGTAAATAAAAAAGTATTTAAAGTGAATAAGAAAGACTCTAAAGTAAACTTATTAGCTCAAATGGTAGAACACTATGCGGATGCATAGAGATGTAGGTTCGATTCCTACATAGGTTACCTCTAAAAGTAAATACAAAACATTCTAAAGTAATTCAAAACATCTCAAAAGTATATCAAAATAACTAAAAAGTAAATCAAAAGTAAATAGTATTTACTTAAAAAAAAAATATTAACTCAAAAGTAAATAGTATTTACTTAAAAGTAAATTATATCTACTCACAACTATTCGTCTAGGGTGCACATTGCTAAAAAACAAAAGCAGGGTATTAGTTTACCAACATGTTTATATCTTTAATCCTAAGATAAGTGACCTTGAGTTTCTAGTAATAAAAGTAGATACAAAATAAGTTAAAGTAAATAAAATATTTATTAAAGTTAATAGAAATGAAATTCACCTTCTCTACCTTTAAAATAAGGAAATTACTATGAAGAAATGCTTATTGACAATCTCTAATTGCTATGAATGCTTAAATATCTAGTATAAGTGATAGAACCTTCTGTCCTTTAATCCTTGGATACGTGAGCTTGAGTTTGTAAGTAATAAAAGTAGATACAAGATAAGTTGAAGTAAATAAGATATCTCTTAAAATAAATACAAATGAACCTATGTGGGATTTGAACCCACATCTTTTGTGCATTTGCACAATACTCTACCTCTTGAGCTAGTAGGCTAGTGTATATAAAGTTGACAATAATAAAATGAGCAAAGACAACATCAGCAACTTCAAAATCAGTTGCTAAGACCAGATGAAATTTCCAATTTAGAAGCCTTGGAGGTTCTAGAGAGACGAGTGATCCATGTTTCATGAGAATCTACAAATGGAAACTTGAGAGGGTATAGACCTTCAATTGATCACAGACCTCTTATTGCTGCCTCGTATATCTATAGCCGAAAATGAGAATTGTACAACTTTCTCAGTAGCGACCACAACTAAGTAATGAACATAAGGAGATATTGTAGTCCTACAAGAGAGAATTACTTTTGATAGACCTTAAGTAATGAACATAAGGAGATAGTGTTGGTTGCAAGAAGAACATCAGATATTCTGCTAGTTACAAGTCCTTTTTGAAATCTTGAGTGACATGGGTGTGTGCAACAACAACAATAAAGCCATCAATATGACAATCTAACCGATAGTCCCATATAGCTGCAATGAAACACTCATCCAATTCTCAGTAATCAATAGACAAATACCAACATTTGCAATACATTTGCTGTTCTACCAGACAATAGCCCCACACAACAACTTTACAACGACCATTAACCAGCAACATGACATAAGTATACATTGGGTTATTCGAAGTATATGGACTTAAACCATAAACATCTTAGTTAAACTGTCCCAACATCTGATAGCAACTCATTGTTGCCACAAAGCAATGCCATGGCATTAATTGAGATGAAATTACCCGGACTTCCATCCACAACTCAACTCTGAAAAATCGCTATAATTTATTTGTCTTACAAAAATTAATGAGACAAAAAGCGAGAATGAACATCCCAATTTCTAGAATATTTGTTATTTATCATACATTGAAAAATAAATGTACTGTAATTCCCCCAAATTCTGCAAAATTGGATAATATCCCATCTAGATTCTAGACCATCTAGTTTTAGCTTATTACAAGCTGCAATATGACATAACCACTCAAGCATCCAGCAATAGAATCAAAATCAATAAAACTCAACAATAAATAAGAATGATCAGAGACAAATTCAATTGAAATCCAAATTAAACACAAAAAATTCGATTAAAACCCTTGTTTTAGAACATCAAATAAAACCTCTAAAATCCATCAAATTCAAAGAAACCAAACAAACAGCTTACTTGACGAAGAGATTAGCAAGGCGTAAAGATAAGATGCAGCAAAAAACATAAATCAATCGAACAATATATAGCAAAAAACCCAAAATTCGAACTCGAATTAATCATAACTAAATCGAAAGCAAACTTATAACTCGAATTAATTAAACTGATTCAAGAAAACAAAAAAGAACTACAAATTCGCAGAAATTAATTATTCCTAAAACCAAAAAAAAAAAAAAAAAAAAAAAAAAAAAAAAAAAAAAAACCCTAATTGAATAAAATACAAGAGAATTAAAAAAATACACAAAATCAAAATTATTACCTGTTCAGATTCGATAGATAACAGAAAATCGAAGAAAGTTGATGAAATCGAATAACTTGAGGAAATCAATTTGTGAAGTCGAAGGAAAATATCGCACATGATTTTAGAGAATTCGGAGGAATTCAGAGAATTGGAAGGAGGAGAGAGAAAGTCCAAAGAAGAGAGAAAAATAAAATGAAGTGGCGCATGATTTAGGATGAATGTCATTTAACACGCAAAATTACAGAAATGCCCTTAATGAGGTGGGTGGAATGTGAGCCGTTAGATTGAACACGATCAACGGTCCAGATGAGTTCCTAGTTCCTATTATTCACCTTGGTTCTCACATGATCTCAATCATATATATATATATATATATGTAATAATAATAATAATAATAATAATAATAATAATAATAAATAGATTGTATCCAAAGCATAAAACATAATCCAAATTAAGTACATATACATACTACATAAGCAAAAGCTAAGTTATAGCCGGAGTACCCTGCCCTGCTTCGCCACTACCCGGGTCGTCCCTGGGGTGTCGACTCTGAGGTTGAATGGTAGAACATGTGTCGCTGGGGAAACGACGCATAAACTCATCCCACTTCTCCTGGTTTCTCCTCTCTAGCGGCCATTTGGGCTTGAAATCGGGCTTCCATCTGGACTTCTAATTCACTCCGGATTTCACTGGGAAGAGCCTACACCCTATGCTCCATCTGATCCTACATTTAAGAAACAACGGAAGGCATGTACTGCTGTGAAGACGTGGAAACTCGACCCATCTGGTTTCCATAGTACAGCTCTGCACTTTGGCCAAGTCCCTTCACACGACCCTTCTTGTTGCGACCACCCACAGTCTCCCAGTACAACTCATTCGGTTTCTTCCGAATCCCTTAAGTGCTTGCTTCTTCAACCTTCTTCTGGTAGGCCTCCTATAAGATATACATATGAAAAGGAGCAACTTACTAAGTTTAAGGAAGCATTTTCAACAAAATAGAACCAAGTAAGGCCTAATTGACTTCTACTTTACCCATTTTCTTCATTTCTTATCAAATAAACTCTTTCTTTCTCCTAACATGTCAATAATAGGTAGTTTTAGGTGTATAGGGCTTGAAATCACAAAAAATGACCAATTACCTAAGTTTTAAGAACCATTTTCATCTAAATTCATCCAAATATGGCCTAAATGACTTCTACTTTGCCCATTTTCTTCATTTCTTACCAAATGAATTCTTTCTTTCTCATAACATGTCATAATAGATAGTTTTAGGTGTATAGGGCTTGAAATCACAAAAAAACCAATTAACTAAGTTTTAAGAACCATTTTCATCCAAATTCATCCAAATATGGCCTAAATGACTTCTACTTTGCCTATTTTCTTCATTTCTTACCAAATGAACTTTTTCTTTCTCATAACATGTCAATAATAGGTAGTTTTAGGTGTTTAGGGCTTGAAATCACAAAAATAAAACCAATTAACTAAGTTTTAAGAACCATTTTCATCCAAATTCATCCAAATATGGCCTAAATGACTTCTACTTTGCCCATTTTCATGAAATCAATCAAATAAGTTTAGATTCTAAGTTATATTGAAGTTGTTACCGCAATTCGCTTCACTTTGGTGTTGGCTGGCACTGTGCCTTTCCCAGGCACATCCTTGAAGTGCGTCTTCAGAAAATGCTCAGGAGCTGTTGGTAACTGGCCTTGATTCTTCACCGCCTTTGATTATACATGCAGAAAATCATCGTTATAAATGTCACACCACCATTACATAGTAATACACAAATGCCTTCTATTTTACTTGCCTATTAAACAAACTTACCATCCTTTTTGCATGTTGTATAGCTGACATAGAACCCTGATAGTGGGTTGGTTCAACCACATTTTCCAGGGAACTACCCCTTCTGTTCTTCCTATTTTGGGCCGACCGCTTCTTATACGTCGGATATGTGGCAACAATATCCATCATCTTCTTATGGACTTCCTCATTGAGCCAACCTGGCTTGGCGCCATTCATCTTGTGTGTGACTGTGTAGAACATGTCACGTAGGCGAGTTGCAAACTTCCTTTTAAAAGTTTGCTTCACATGCTCGTTCAATTGAGGTGCCCATGAGAATTGTTTCTGCAAATGATAAACTTTAAAAGTTATAAACTCAACTCCATCAATACACTTAATAAAGCATGTATTAACTAAGTTAAAAATAGCATACGCTGAACAAGTTCCACCAGTGTTGTTTCGTTCCTTCATCAACCTCTCCATAATTCCTCCAAGGGTCTCGATAATATCCAGTTACCAGTTAGCGTACCGGAGACCACACTCCTCACCTTGTTATCATCAAACCTACATTAAACGAGAAACAACAATGTTAGATGATCATCAACAAAAAGTAATATAGAACTTGTTAGAAGTAATAAATAGGTTAATTTTTCGAAAATAAGAATATAAGTCCAATTCATTAAATGTACGTACGTACCAGAGTGTAGTAGGGTCCAATACCGGCAACTCTGAATGCTGCTGTGTCTGATTTTGTGGTTGGGTGAAGGTGGGCTCCTGAGTGGCACCCAAATCATGTGCCTCCGCTTCCTCCATTTCTTCGTCAACGACGCCGATCACCATTTGAGCTTTCCCGTTCCGCTTTGTTTTCTTCGACGATTCTCCATCTTTACCCCGCCATGACCTGAAATAGATGTTAGTATCATGACATGATATTATAAATTACAAGTATAGTGCAATGTAATAAAATTTTATATAAAAAGTAATGATTTATAATAAGACCAAGTCATATTTTGATTTTACAATAACAAGCAAATTCTTAAAGGAGATTAACATATTCTCATATTCATTAATCTCATCACTACTATCACTACTATAATCATCGCTACTATCATCTAATAATACATCGATGTCATCATCCTCGTCACTATCAATAGAGTCGATGTTAGATTCATCATCTTCATCGCTTGAGATAACAAAGCCATCATCATCATCTTCATCATCATCATCTAGGATATAGTTTGGAATGTCATTCGGTGGGCAAAGTGTTGCATGTACTTGTGGGGATGGTGCCTGCAAAAACTCTAAGCCCACCGAAGCATGAACCACTGACTTTGCTTGTGTTTTAAACACAGCCCACCATTGAACTCGATCCCGTTTCAGGCTAGGGTATGATGCGTAGTACACTTGGGTCACTTGGTAAGATAATACAAAGGGATCATACTTGGGGTATTTCTTAGTATGATTTACTTCGACAAGCTTGTATTGTTCATGTATGTTCATTCCCCTACCACAATCCATCCAACTACACTTAAACAAAATAGTCTTGTACTCTTTTTCGAGACCAGTGTAGACAAGTTCAATTATGTCGTCTAAAATGCCGAAGTACTCTCCACCATCCTCACTTGATACACACACACACCATAATTCATTGTAGATTTGTACTTGCCATGGGCATGTGTATGGAAATTAAATCCACTGACAAAAATCTGCCTCCAAGTTCGAACACGCTTGAAAGGACGCATGCACAACGCTCGCAGGATATCCGAATTTGGTTTCTCTTCAACCACTTATCAACGTTTTGAATATAAACGTCACAATTCATGAATTGAATAAATTGAAGTGCAAGATGTAAAATTCATAATTATGTCACGATTAGACCGTTTATATCACCTTGTGATGAAACCAATCAGAGAATTCAGCTTCGCATTTCTCCATGACTTCTTCTCTAAGCAGATAAGGTCGAGTACTAAGAATGTAGTCCTCAAACTTCCTACAAGGTCAAAGACACGCGGTAAATCAACATTGTAATAATTTTAATTGTTCATTACTTTGAATACAATGCATTCCTAAACATATTATACCTTTCGTATTCACCAAGAATGTCGTTGTTTCGTAACACGAACAAATGAGCACACTCGAGTTCTTTTTCATCAAAAAACCGAGTTTTACCCTCATTTGACACCCGACCGCTATCCACCGTGAACAACTCTGGTATTTCAGCGTTGTCCACTGTGGAGTTCACGTCGGCATTCACACTTCGACCGAGATCTCGTGTTTTTGTGTCAACTGACGCCTGAAAGTAATTACAGCAAAAGTTTGCTATCTCTTCGGTGAGATAAGCATTGCATATGGAACCTTCAACTCGAGCCTTGTTCCCAATTTTTCGTTTCAAGTGATTGAGGAACCTGCAATTATAGTTATAGAAATGTATAAACAAGTCATGACAATGAATGGGATGTAAAAAAGAGGATGTGAAAGGGTCTTTGATTTACCTTTCGAAGGGATACATCCATCTATATTCAAAAAGACCATATAACTTGCCCTTATATGGCAAATGAATAGGTAAATGCTCCATGGAGTTAAAGAATGCCGGAGGGAAGACCTTCTCAAGCTTGCAAAGGATCTCAACTATGTTTTTCTCCAATCGCTCCATGTCACTAACTGTGATTGTGTAGCAACACAAATCGCGGAAGAATTGGCTGATCTATGTAATTGCATTCCAAATATGGTCAGGGAGCAATTCCCTTAAAGCAATGGGCAACAACCTCTCCATGAACACGTGACATTCATGGCTTTTCATTTCGTGTAGCTTACATGCTTGCAAATCTATGCATCTACTCAAATTGGAGGTGTAACCATTAGGATACCGCAGCTTTTTAACCCACTCACACAAAACTTTTCTCTGAGCCTTGTCAAGAGCGAATGGAGCCTTTGGCATGAACTCTATTCCTTTAACATCCTCCTGAAGATGAAGCTGCGGCTGTTTACAATATTTGACAATGTCATTTCGAGCTGATGGCGTGTCACATGTATGCTTTTTCACATCCATAATAGTGTGAATTAACTGATCAAAGAAGTTCTTTTCAATGTGCATGACATCTAAGTTATGAAGAATGAGCAGATGCTTCCAATATGGAAGCTCCCACAGTGTGCTTTGCTTGAACCACCCCTTTTTAGCTTTTTTGAGGCATTTAAGTGCCTCGGGCCCATCTGTAGCCTTCGGAAGGTCTTTCACACATTCCCACAGTTCCTCTCCTGACATGATGTGTGGAGGTGCACCTTTTTCGACTTTTTTTTTAAGAAATGCAGTTCTACTATTCCGAAAAGGGTGATTTGTCGAAAGGAATTGGCGGTGGCAATCAAACCAAGAAACTTTACCACCATGTTCGAGCCAATATGCTTTGATTTTCTCCATGCAATATGGATAAGCCTTCTTACCAGATATGGTCCAACCAGACAACATACCATAAACCGAGAAGTCACTAAAGGTCCATAGGATGGCTGCTCGAAGATTGAAATTCTGTTTCCTCGAAATATGGTAAGTATTTGCGCCAA